AATGACTAGTGATGATAGGAGAATTGATGCCTTTGAGCTGTGGTGTTGGAGAAGAGTTTTGAATATACCATGGACTGCAAAGAAAATGAACAGGTTTTTCCTGGAGAGGAAAACCTGTTTTCCTGGGCTGCTCCTTAAAACCAAGGATTCTGAAACTTTGTCTGACAGGTTGCAAGTAGGGACCAGTCCTTGGAGAGGGATGTCATGCTTGGGAGGGTGGAGGAACAGCACAGGAGAGGAAGACACTCAATGAGATGGATTGATTCACTGACTGGGGTAATGGGGGTAGGTGTGTTGGAGGTGGTGAGATTGTCACAGGATAGGGCAGAATTTAGGGCTGTTGTACATAGCGTTGCAAAGAGTTGCAGGTGACTGGATGGCACATAACAACAACAACAATAACAATAACCTTCAGTATAACTTGTAACATTATAGAAACATAAAAACGAAAAAAAAATAATGGCAAACAGGTTTTTTGTGTGATGGAGATAGTAAAAATTTTAGAAAGGAAATGAAATGCACTAATCATGAAAAAATGAAAAGTAAAACTTGGGCTTATCAAAAGATAAGTAAGATAATGAAAACACAGGCCACAGCCTTGAAAAAAATATTTGTAACACGTATTTGATGGAAGATTCATGTCTAAAACATGTTCTTCTAGAAACTCTGTAGATATAATATAAAGGCAAACAACACAATACATAAATTGAGAAGACCTGAGCAAACACCTTTCAAAAAAGATATATGGCTATAAATATGGTACTAATATCATTAGACATTAAGGTAATATAAATTGAGAAGCACCATGAAATATCACACTAGGGTGTATAAAAAGAATGAGAGGCTAAGAATATCAAATGTTGGAAAGGGTATAAAAGTACTAAAATACTTTAATAAATTGGTGAGACTGTAACATAATCTGATTATTCTGGAAAGTGGAAATTATTATTTTATTGAATTAAGCATATACCCACTCTATAATCCAGCAATTCCACCCCTAGGCATTTATCTTAAAGAATTGAAAGCTGTATCTACAAATATATATATGAAGTATTTATAGTTGCTTTATTAATAATAATGAGAAATAATAAAATGTCAAATATACATCTAACTGAAAAAAAGAGATGAACTTCTTATGATAAATTAATACAATAGATTGCTAGTCAACAGAAAAAAAAAACCAACCAACCAAAACAAAACAAAACCAGACGCTCTGCTGAAGGAGGGGCAATCTCCTCTTGTACCAGTTGGGTCCAATTTGATGGTACACACACACAAAAAAATTTAAACACTGAAAAATAATCAACAGCAAAAAAAAAGATTAAACTGCTAATTAGAACACCGTGAATAATCTCAAAAACACTGTGTTGAAACATGTACGGCTAAGCACAATTGATGACAGTGCATCTAAATTCCAAAATCAATCTCCATAATAGTCTATGTGTTTCCTATTGACAAAGGGGCCCTTTAGAGTAGTGAGAGAAGATCTTCACCCTGAAACCTACAGCGTCCCTTTTCAGCAGGAAGTAGCTAAGAGAATACGCCATCCCCTTTTCCTTATGAATCAGGGTGAAGTCTCTCTCAGGGAGGAGTGATAGGGAATGGCAAAGGACACACTGACAAAGGAGATTAATCAGAACTGGCTTTGACAAGCACTGTGGCAAATGGACAATTAAAACAGACTTTCAGGGGTGGGGGAAGAAGAACAAACTGGGGAGGAGGGTAGAGAAAATAGTGCAACAATGAATGAATGAAAACCTAAAACTCTGTAAATGTTCATTAAAATGAATAAAATTTAATAATTAAAAAAGGGAAAAAAACAAAAAACAAAAAACGCTGTGTTGAACAAAAGAAAGATACAAAATAGTACATAAGGTATGATTCCATTGATACAAGAAAAGTACAAGAAATCAGAGCAGTGCTTGCTTTAGGTCATTTAGATCATTGATTAGAGGGACTATAATGACTATAATGAAGATGCTGATTATATGTGTATAAAGTTATCAAAGTTTCTCAAATTGTTCCCTTAGATCTATGTATTGCATTGTAATCATTTTACTCAGTTAAAAGGCTACTTTATTAAGGATAACACATACCAAATCATTTCTAATTATGCATGAGAACAGATAATCCATGAGTGATGTCAAATGTGTTTGGAATCTGGTATTTCAACTACAAGCCAACAAAGTTTCTAAACACTTAAATTTGAAAAGACAAATCAGGGTTTGTTTGGTTTTTTTTAGAAATAGTTTTTAATGCAACACTGCACCCTTAGTGCTTCCCTAATTAGATGATGTTTTGTTCCTAGCTACTGCCATGGGAATTTCCAGAGCTGCTGTCAATTAGCCAGCATCTCAAGAAGTCCTGTGGGGAGAGAAGTTTCAGACTTTCTTATTCTCACAGTCTGTGCTTTCATACCTTTCCCTAATTTTTTTTTTAAAAAACTTTTAATCGTGATTTGAGTAAAAGGTTACAGAACAGTTGGTTTTCCATTCAACCATTCATTCACATTTCCCTTTTTGTTTTATGGCTTCAGTTGCAGCACCCATATAAAAACAACTTTCCACTGTCTCCCTGTGCATCTTGTTTCCATTTATCCTTCTGACCTCTCCCTTCCTGCCTTCTTGCTTGTTGTTGTTGTTATGTGCCATCAAGTAGCTTGCAACTCATAGCAACCCTATGTATAAGAGCT